GCGGCAGGCAATCGATGTTCTGGGATCGATCCCGGAAGTGCTCGCCGTCGACGCCGGTACTCCAGCTCGGCGAGAGGAGTACGCGGCATCGACGGGGGAGCCTTCCTGCCGCGTCTGGACCCGCGGTAAGTTCGGACTAAGGTACTTCGAATTCAGCTACGTTATTAACATAGCTGAATTTGCGTACCTTAGTCCGAAGTGGGGGCTTAGTGGGGACCAGGCCTTGGAGTTGCAGCTAGCAGGGGATGTTAAGAGTAACAAGAAGGGTTTCTTCAGGTATGTTAGCAACAAGAAGAAAATCAAGGAAAGTGTGGGCCCCTTACTGAATGAGGGAGGCAACCTAGTGACAGAGGATGTGGAAAAAGCTAATGTTCTCAATGCTTTTTTGCCTCTGTCTTCACGAACAAGGTCAGCTCCCAGACTGCTGCACTGGGCAGCACAGCATGGGGAGAAGGTGACCAGCCCTCTGTGGAGAAAGAAGTGGTTCAGGACTATTTAGAAAAGCTGGACGAGCACAAATCCATGGGGCCGAATGCGTTGCATCCGAGGGTGCTAAAGGAGTTGGCGGATGTGATTGCAGAACCATTGGCCATTATCTTTGAAAACTCAGGTTATCGGGGGAGGTCCCGGATGACTGGAAAAAGGCTAATGTAGTGCCCATCTTTAAAAAAGGGAAGGAGGAGGATCCGGGGAACTACAGGCCAGTCAGCCTCACCTCAGTCCCTGGAAAAATCATGGAGCAGGTTCTCAAGGAATCAATTCTGAAGCACTTAGAGGAGAGGAAAGTGATCAGGAACAGTCAGCATGGATTCACCAAGGGCAAGTCATGCCTGACTAACCTAACTGCCTTCTATGACGAGCTAACTGGCTCTGTGAATGAGGGAAAAGCAGTGGATGAGTTATTCCTTAACTTTAGCAAAGCTTTTGATAAGGTCTCGCACAGAATTCTTGCCAGCAAGTTAAAGAAGTATGGGCTGGATGAATGGACTATAAGATGGATAGAAAGCTGGCTTGATCGTCTGGCTCAACGGGTAGTGGTCAACGGCTCCATGTCTAGTTGGCAGCCGGTATCAAGCGAAGTACCCCAAGGGTCGGTCCTGGGGCCAGTTTTGTTCAATATCTTCATTAATGATCTGGAGGATAGCATGGACTGAACCCGCAGCAAGTTTACAGATGACACTAAACTGGGAGGAGTGGTAGATATGCTGGAGGGTAGAAATAGGATACACAGGGACCTAGACAAATTAGATGATTGGGCCAAAAGAAATATGATGAGGTTCAACAAGGAGAAGTTCAGAGTCCTGCACTTAGGACGGAAGAATCCCATGCACTGCTACAGACTAGGGACCGAATGGCTAGGCAGCAGTTCTGCAGAAAAGGACCTAGGGGTTACAGTGGATGAGAAGCTGGATATGAGTTGACAGTGTGCCCTTGTTGCCAAGAAGGTTAATGGCATTTTGGGCTGTATAAGTAGGGGCATTGCCAGCAGATGGAGGGACGTGATCATTCCCCTCTATTCGGCATTGGTGACGCCTCATCTGGAGTACTGTGTCCAGTTTAGGCCCCCACACTACAAGAAGGATGTGGAAAAATTGGAAAGAGTGCAGCGGAGGGCAACAAAAATGATGAGGGGGCTGGAGCACATGACTTATGAGGAGAGGCTGAGGGAACTGGGATTGTTTAGAAGAGAAGAATGAGGGGGGATTTGATAGCTGCTTTCAACTACCTGAAAGGGGGTTCCAAAGAGGATGGATCTAGACTGTTCTCAGCGGTACCAGATGACAGAACAAGGAGTTCTCAAGTTGCAGAAGGGGAGGTTTAGGTTGAATATTAGGAAAAACTTTTTCACTAGGAGGGTGGTGAAGCACTGGAATGGGTTCCCTAGGGAGGTGGTGGAATCTCCTTCCTTAGAGGTTTTTAAGGCCCAGCTTGACAAAGTCCTGGCTGGGATGATTTAGTTGGGGATTGGTCCTGCTTTGAGCAGGGGGTTGGACTAGATGACCTCCTGAGGTCCCTTCTAATCCTGATATTCTATTATTCTAATCAGGTGCAAGCTGCTGCCTTGTGCAAGGATTGGTGAGGGTCAGGGCAGAGCAAACAGGAATCAGACCCACGCACATCCTTCCCCCACACTCACAGCTTCCCTAAAGATCTGTCACACTGGCTTCGCCTCTGGTTTGCTCTGCAGTCACCATTCACCTCTCCCAGCTCTGCACTGTCCCCTCCCGTAGGAGGTAAGTGGGGAGAGATGCTGGGAGAAGAGTCCGGGGGCATTTGTCCCCTCTGCCAACATCCCACCACTTTATACCTCTAGAACAAAGACAGCAGGATGGAGGGCTCTCTCCTGGGAAGCAGGGACTCTGAAAAAGATTTGGGGTGCTGGTGCATACTCAGCTGAACACAAGCTCCCAGTGCAACTGTGTGACCAAAATGGCTAACTCGATTATGGGATGCAAGAAGAGGGGACTCTTAAGTAGGAGCACAGAGGTCATTTTATCTCTGTGTTTGGCATTGGTGTGACTGCTGCTGGAATCCTGTGTCCAGTTCTGGTGCCCACAGTTCAAGGAGGATGTGGATATATTAGAGATGGTTCAACGAAGAGGCACGAGAATGATTAAAGGATTAGAAAACCAGCCTTAGAGTGATAGACTCAAAGAGATCCATCTACTTAGCTTAACAAAGAGAAGCTTAAGGGGTGACTTGATCACAGTGTGTAAGTGCCCACGTGGGGAATAAATATTTAGTAACGGGCTCTTCAGTCTAGCAGAGAAAGGTCTAACACGATCCAATGGCTGGAAGTTGGAGCTGGAAAATTGAGGTTGGAAATCAAACATACATTTTTGACAGTGAGGGTAAATAACCATTGGAACAATTTACCAAGGGTTGTGGAGGATTCTCCATCACTGACCATTTTTAAGTGAAGATTGGATGTTGTTCTAAAAGATCTGCTCTAGGAATTATTCTCAGGAAGTTCTCTGGTCTGGGTTATATGGGAAGTCAGACTAGGTGATCACAGTGGTCTCTTCTGGCCTTGGAATCCATGAAGCTATGAGTGTAGGTCAGTGGTTCTCAAACTTTTGTAGCGGTGACCCCTTTCGCACAGCAAGCCTCTGAGTGCGACCCCACCCCCCACCCTTATAAATCAAAAACACTTTTTTTTTAATATTTAACACCATTATAAATGCTAAAGGTGAAGCTGGGTTTGGGGTGGAGGCTGACAGCTCACGACCCCCCAGGTTCTAACCTTGCGACCCCCTGAGGGGTCCTGACCCCCAGTTTGAGAACCCCTGGTGTAGTTGGATGTGGGAGCACACAGTACTCCTGAGGGCATTCTGCACCAAAAAAATAAACATTCTGTGCACGATATTTTTAAAATCTGCAAAACTCTGCTAATTTTATTTGTCAAATCAATGTGGAGGCTCCAGCATGGCCTTGGGGAGCACAGGCCACTGGCTGCACAGGATGGAAGATCACTGTGCAGCTCCGCCCAGGACACAGACTCAGCGGTGAGGCTACACCCAACCCTGACAGCGCGAGGACTGGGCCTGCCCCTCTGTGCCGAGGTGTGGGCAGGCAGGCTCAGCCCAGCAGGATCCAAGTGTGGAGGGAATCTAGGTGTGGGTTGAGAGGGTTCTGTGTGGGGCAGTCTGGGTGCAGATGGCTCACTGGGTGATCTGGGTGCAGGGGGGATCTGGATACACAGGGGCTTGTTGGGGAGTTCTGGGTGCAATGGTAAAGGGACTCTGCAGGGGGGTCCAGATGCTGGGGGAGTGGGGCTCAGTGAGGTGAGGATCTGGGTGCAGGTGTCTCATCAGGGTGGTCCAGGTGCAGGGACAGTGGAGCTCATCAGGGTGGTTCTGAGTGTGGAGGTGAGGCTTGGCAGGAGGGTCTGGATATGAGGGGGTCTGGATGCATGGGGGTTGGGCGGATGGGGGAGTAGCTCCCTGTAGAGGGATCCCTCCCCCTTCAGCTGAGGAGTGATGGGCGCAGGAAGCGGGAATGAGGGGGGAATTTGCAGAGCTTCCTGCAGCTGGAGGAGAAATCTGGAGGTGGGTCTGACATGGGCCCCAGATGCTGTGTAGGGGAAGAGAAAGTCCCATCCTCCCCAGCCCAGCCGGGACTAGTAGCTGAGCCTGGCACAGGGTAGGAGCCATGAGCCAGGTCTTCCCCAGTTCCACCCCTGGCCTCACAGTGATTTACCTCTCTGCCAGCTGCCCTGGGTACCCAAAACACACTGCTGGGGAGGGTCGCATGACCACTCTTGTGGCTTCCCTTTGCTTCCCCTTCAGAAAGTCAGTTTTCTGCAGGGAAGCAAAGAAACGGCAGGGACATAAATTCTGGATGTTTGCAGTGGTGCAGAATTCCCCCAAGAGTAACACAGCCTCACAGTATAGGTGGGTGTGCTGTGGGGAGTGGGAGCACACAGCCTCATGGTGTAGCTTGGGGTGTGCTGTGGGGTGGGAGCACATGGCCTCATGGTGTAGCTTGGGGTGTGCTGCAGGGTGGGAGCACACGGCCTCACGGTGTAGCTTGGGGTGTGCTGCAGGGTGGGAGCACACAGCCTCATGGTGTAGCTTGGGGTGTGCTGCGGGGTGGGAGCACACGGCCTCACGGTGTAGCTTGGGGTGTGCTGTGGGTGGGAGCACACAGCCTCATGGTGTAGCTTGGGGTGTGCTGCAGGGTGGGAGCACAGAGCCTCATGGTGTAGCTTGGGGTGTGCTGCAGGGTGGAGCACATGGCCTCACGGTGTAGCTTGGGGTGGGAGCACACGGTCTCATGGTGTAGCTTGGGGTGTGCTGTGGGGTGGGAGCACATGGCCTCATGGTGTAGCTTGGGGTGTGCTGTGGGGTGGGAGCACATGGCCTCATGGTGTAGCTTGGGGTGTGCTGTGGGGTGGGAGCACACGGCCTCATGGTGTAGCTTGGGGTGCGCTGCTTTTTAGGCTGTTTGTGAAAGGTGAGCAGTTTTCTAATGCATTTTTTTCCTCCTGTGTTTTCCAGTGAACTTGCTGGACACAGCAATGATCCCCGGGGACTGGGGCTGGCTGACCTACCCATCGCACGGGGTGAGTATGAGGCTATCGGCGCACTGAAGAAATGGGGTCTTTGGGAACCGGCAGGGCATGTTGCCTGTGGCCCTTCTGGGCAGCCTCGGTGTAAATGGAAAGGAGACAGCAATGCCTTCTCCCTGTTGAACATACGAGCCTCTTCAGCCCGCAGCTGAGCGTGGCAGAGTTTGCCTGAAGGGTCTGGGGCACAGTGCTGTTGCCCTGGGATGTCTCCTCGGCACGGGTGGGTGTTCTGTGGTGAGGTGTTCTCAGGCCCCACTCGACTGTACTGGGCTAAGCATGCTCGGGAGTTGGAGTCTCCTTGGGTTGTTGTCTAGCACAACCCAGGAGGCTGGAGTTACACGGCAGTTTCTTATCAGCCTCAAGATTACCACAATTGGCACTAGTAGCGCAACAGGGGTACAGTATTTGTGTGGCAGAAAACTGGTATTGTTAAAAGACAACTCTATAAGACAGCACAGCCGGTGGCACACCTCGACAGGCTATGAAAGGGCTGTAACCACAATCCACCGATTCCTGCCCACAGCTGGAAACAGCACGAACGGTCACCATCACGTGTACCCACAAGCAAGCAAGCCACCACTCAAACACACCAACTCCCCTCCAAACACGTGCACACCTTCCCTTGCACCTCACGTGGATGCACACACCCTACACACACACAGTTCCCCATGTTCGACTTCCCCCACCCATGGACAACACCCCTGACAACACACGTTTGTAGTGGACCCAGCCTGGGAGCGAAATACCAACCAACACCAATTCATTTGCCCAGTTACCATTTGCTTTCTGCAGATTATGCCTTCTCAGCTGTGATCTGCAACCCATCCGCTCCTCTCCCAGGTGGCTCTGTCACCGAGTGCCCCCACTGCCTGTTGGCATTATGCTGGGCACTGCAACGGGCCAGTGTCAAAGCCAGAGTCACACGATGGAAATGGGGCTTGGAGAGTGCCAGGTTCTCCTGTAGTTTCATTGTCTCCACTGGGCACATTGAGCCTCCCTCACACTGAATAGCACCTTTCTGTGCCAGACATGGACTCGGGCGCACTTCAGGATGAGACGGGATCAGCATCTGGCCACCCGTGTGCACGTCTGTGAGTCAGGGAGGGGCTGTTATGCCCAGAACTAGGCAGGTGCCGCCAGCCGTTTCCCACTAATCAGCGGCTGTGTTGGCCGTGATTGCGTTGGCTGAGGTGGTGTTGGTGCCAGCCCTGAGATGTGCTCATCCAATCGGGGAACAGAAACAGTCCCACTCAAGGTATGTGGCCAATCACAACGAAGCAACACAGCTTCTAGCGTAAGTGAAATGTGCAGCATTGGGGTGCCGGAGTGGCCTTCTCAAAAGTGTTGGGGGGAGGGATAGCTCAGTGGTTTGAGCATTGGCCTGCTAAACCTAGGGTTGTGAGTTCAATCCTTGAGGGGGCCATTTAGGGAGCTGGGGCAAAAATCGGCCTGGGGATTGGTCCTGCTTTGAGCAGGGGGTTGGACTAGATGACCCCCTGAGGTCCCTTCCAACCCTGACATTCTATGATTCTACGTTCCCCTCTTTTCTTCTCCTCTCTAAACTCAGTGGCCCTAATTTTTTCAGTTCCTTCTCATAGAGGAATCGTTCCAAGCCTCCAATTATTATCCCTGATCTGTTGCTGGGGTCTTTCTCTCTCTGCTCTATCTGCTTGAGAAGGAGTGATTCGAACGGTGAATTCTTAATAATAACGATGATGAGATTTTATATAGAATATTATCAAATATGTAAGTACATCAAATCCTTGGCTCAGCTCTGACTTTAGCACTTAGAAACTGCAATGATGAGTACTCTGCAAACAGAATATATTGTAGATGGTTAGACCTTTTCCAGCCACGCTGCCTATCTGCACACGAGCGCCAGACTGTTCCGCACAATATGGTCTCCAATGCTTTGTCCAGCCTAGGTTTAAATACTCAGGCAAATGAGGCTTTTGCCACATCCTTCAGGAAACATTTCCACCTCTTCAAACCGTCATGGGCGGCTCTGTTTTTTGCTGCCCCAAGCATGGCAGTCAGGCGGACTTCAGCGGCATGCCTGCGGGCGGTCCGCGGTCCCGCGGATTCGGCGGCGTTTCTGCGGGTGATCTGCCGGTCCCGCGGATTCGATGTACCCGCCACCGAATTGCCACCGAAACCGCGGGACCGGCAGACCTCCCGCAGGCATGTTACCGAAGGCTGCCTGACTGCCGCCCTCACGGCGACCGGCACGCCGCCCCCCCGCGGCCTGTCGCCCCCGGCACGCGCTTGCTGCGCTGGTGCCTGGAGCTGCCCCTGCATATAGTAAAACCCTGCTTCGGTGCTGTTTGACATTCAGAGTCAATTTTCCTTTGTTCGCTTTCATTCTGTTCCCCTCTGTAATGTCCTGCACAATTCCTTTCCCTCCTAAGCAGTCCCACCCTTCAAACACTCCTAGACTGTTGTCACATCTCGCCCTGTGGCTGTTCCTTTGCCAAGCTCTACCTGCTGCATTCAGCCCTTTCCATGCCTCCCACCAGCTCTCTAATGAATCCTTCTGGTTAATCTTCTGGGGCCAGGCCCCAGCAGGTGTAAAGCAGCGTATCTCCATTGACTGCAGTGGAACGTTGCCCCTTTACACGAGCTGAGGATCTGCCCTGATGTGTAGTTTTGCGTCCTAAGTTAATTTTCGTCTTCTCCTGGGTCCCTCTGTTGCTTGAGACACAGCTGAGCACATCCTCTGCCTTTGCATTCACTCGGCTCTTGGCTTCTGCTTCTTCTCCTGCTGTGCTGAAGGCTCATCCAGCATCTCCGCATTCTTCTGTCTGCTCCTCTGCCATTTGTCTTTGGTTCCCTCCTCTTCTCTATAGCTTGGGCCACCCCCTCCATGCTGACAACGTCCAAACCTCCCTATCCAGCCTCCACCCTCTCTTGTAGCCTCTGGTGGCTTCTCTCGGGCATCCTGCAACCAACTCACACTCACGCTCTCCAGAATGAACTTCTTGAACTGACAACTCCGCTAGCCTTCCTGTCTCCCAGGCGTGTGACGGTGGTGTCCTTGCCTCAGCTTTCTCCTCGTTCCCACTTGGTCACCGCCAGGCTCTAGAGTCACTCTCTCAAAAGTGTTTTGCTTTGTATACATAATTAAATATTGAGCGGGACTGAGACAGCCCAGCGGACGGAGCATTGACCTGCAATGTGGGAGATTCCAGTTCAAGTCTCTGTGCCAAATGAGGCAGAGCTGGGGCCTGAAGGTGGGTCTCTGAACACCTCGGCGAGTGCCAGGCTTGGCTTGTCAAAACCAGGAGGTTTCTGCGAAACATTTTGGTTTAGACAGAATGGCGTTATTCAATTGGAAAAAAGGGTTGGTTGAAAAACTTTTGATCAGCTCCACCTTTACGCTGTCTGTGTTGCAGCGATGGTGGTTTCTTAGCATCCCAGCGCCTGGCCTCCTAAACTAAAAGTGGGGGGGGCAATGGCGCCTGAACTGTGCCCCGGTCCCTGCAGCACCCCTTCTCCCTGAACCCCCACCCTCGCTCCTCCCATTCCCCTGAGGCCCCGCCCCCACACCGCCCCTTCTTCCTGGAGCCCCACCCCCATGCCACCCATTCCCCCAAGATCCCGCCCTCACTCTTCCCCTTCTCCCCAAGCCCCCTGCTCCCTCCCCCCTGTGACTTGCCCTTATGGCTGGTAAAAAGTGAGAGGGGCCTGGCCCCCTGGCTCCCTCTGTTCCGGCGCTCCTGTCCTAAACCCATTCGTTGCTTTGGATAAACAGTTTCACTTCCTGTGTTTCCTGTTCCATATTTGCCACTTAAAATATCCTTTGAAGATTGTGCCCTTGCGACGATTTCTCCATTGACCAGTGAACGTTACCCCAAATGGGTGTCTTATTACCCTCTGTCCAACAGCCTGTGCTCTGGATCCAGGTCTGTCCTGGCTGGTGAGGGTCAGCGGGGGGAGCTGGGTCTGATGCTGGTGGGGATTGTCAATGCCTGACCATAGGGAGGCCAGCCACTGCGTCCAGAGAATGATGCTTGTCGCACTGATGATCTGGCTTGCTACTGCCCCGAGTGCAGTCTTGCAGTTTTGGTTCGGAGTGTACGGAAGGTTGTGACACAACAATTTTCAGACCAACTTGATGCCTCTGGCAGCCTCGAGTCCTGGCCGTGTGCTTTCAGGGCTGGGTACTGCACTGGTGGCCTTGGCAGGCCTTCCCCTCCTGGCAATAGTGTGGGCACACAGTCATAACCCAGTATTGCTACCTCAGCTGCCTTCAGCCCTGGGAGTGGCCAAAGCAGCACATTATCAGCGGGCAGCGTGGGGCAGGGCCCTCCTCCCCGAGGGTGTTCTCGTGTGGAGCTCCACGGCATGCCCCCCTCCCCCCCAGTGTGTATGGGGCTGCTAGAAGGGCTCGCAATGCAATATGCCTGCAGAATGCTGATGGCACCCAACTCTCCGTCACTGCCTCGCCCAGCCCAGCCAGAACGCCTAACGCCGGGCACACGGCGAGACTGGCACACAGGTGAGAGCTGGTTGGCTGAGATCAGTCTAGGTAAGATAGCGGCTCGTGGTTGGGGAGTGAGGATTGTGTCTGTACCACCCGGTGGGGCGCGTGTCTGCCATTAGTTCCCAGGCTGGGGCTGCTGGGAAGCACTGCCATGCAGAAGCGCTGTCTGGGTGGCTTTCTACCATCCACGCAGGGCTGGGCGGTTGCAGCCACGCCTTTCAGCTACAGCCCTTACTGCATGGTCCAGGCTTTCGCCACCTCTTGCGTAGACGCTGCACGGGGCTCGGCAGGGGTCTGACTCCACAGCCGCTGGGAGGGTGACATGCAACCTCTAGCTGTGCTCCGGCCTGCCCCTGAAAATAGCAGTGTGACTTCAATGGCTCGGGCGGCTCGGGCTAGCCACCCACGTCACCGTGGTCCCACGGTTCTCTTTAGGTGCTGGCTCCAGCAGAGCTAGCGGGTATTCCACTCCCAGCAGCTGTGTAGACGGACCCCGTGACGACCTGGAAAC